TTTTTTTCTCTGGCACCTCTATTTTGCAGGTAGCTAAGTGCTCTCTCTTTGTGTGTGTGACCTACTGTGTGATGTTCAGTAATCACTCACAGCCAAGGGGTTTCAAGGCTAGAATTCTAAAATGCTCAGCTTTATGTAGGTGAGCCTCTGCCTTGCAGTAATGGTTTATGTCAGTTTCTTACAGAATGCCTTTCACCTTTGCAGGCTAAGGCACAAAATATCCAGTACCTAGAAACTAAAGCTAGAAGTAGAAATGAACCTGTTTCTTACAGTGAATAATCATTAAAATGTATTTATGATGTGGATTAGTCTATCACTTGAGGTCTTTTGTAGGCCTGATGATTTCCCGAAATCTTCATAACCTGCAGATGAGCTTAGGTTGAGGGGACACAGCACTTTGAATTGGAAACTATGCAGAGCCAAGATGGTAACTACACTTGCGCTTTATTGGCTGTCTGATTTTTTTGGATCACTAAGTTCAGGAATGCTACACACCACTAACACTGTGCCTTGGAGTGTTACAATAATTTAAGCTTTGTGCAGTCTGGTACACTGACACATTAAAGTACACTGGCTCTTAATCAATTGGCAATTTTATTGAGGACAGCTATGATGTTTAAGGGGTGCTTGGGGAGACATGAATTCTGTTCCTACCTCTGCCGTTGTCCTGCTGTGAACTTGGACAAGTTGCTTTACTCTTTCTTTTTGTCTATTCAGACTGGAGTTCCTTCTAGGATGGGACTGTCTGCATGGCACCCAGCGCAGAGTCCTTCCTATGTGCTCCAGCAATACTTTGGTTCAGCGTGCTGAAAGAGGAAACTACAGTCTGGTGAACAAGATAAGGCTCTGATCCCTGGGTATGGGCACACGTCGTTGCCAGAACAAACTTCGTAGTCCCACAAACTGGCAGGCAAGAAGAACTGTTGCTGCTTTCCAAGGAATAGGTGTTTAGTAATCTAAAAAGGGAACCTCTTAACGATGTTTCAAGGATGCCCATCTAGTCCTTTCACAGCCATCTTAACTGATACTTTTTGCCAAGGAAGGCCCCAACTGCAGTTCAAGGTCACTCACACTTCAGGCTGTTGTCCTTGAGCTCCCACTTGAATGCAGTTCATTAGTGAATTCATTAGTGAGTATGGTGTATGCAGCACTGTAAAGTTGGTGGGTGTTCTGAAATCTCTGGATTTTACCCTTAGAAAGTGGGAAGGCACAAAAGAACCAATCCTCATTGACGAAATGGAACTCTAGAAAGAAGTAGGTAAGGTGGATCGCTTGCATTTGCTATCTTCCCCCTTTCTGAGAACACTAACGTCTGTTCCTCTCACTGTTATCCGCTTGCCACAGTATTTCTGAGTGGCTGTTGGAGAGGCTGATTGGACTCTATGATCATGTCCATATGAGCAGGGGCATATGTTTGCAGCAGCACAATTTGTGATGCTGCTTTGTGCCACAGTGCATGCTGCTGCCCATTCTCTTTGCAGTGTGACACATTGTCTTGCTGCTCCATGTGCTTTGGAGAAGTCTGGCTGGGGCACAGAGCCGGCAGGCAGCTCCTGCGCTAAGGCACCTGGTGACTTGGCCAGCTGGGGAATGGCATGTGGAGATGGGGGAGTAGGCAGCCCTGGCCTGCCTGCTTCCTTGTCTCTGCATGCTGTGGAGGCCATGCACTGAGGCATTCTGTGCCCTGCCTAGGGCTCAGGGTGCCTGGAGACAGTGGAGTAAGAAGGCCTGGGCTGGCTGCTCCCTTGTCTCCATGTGCCTCAGTGCTGTGTCCCCTCAACCTAAGCCCAGGGCTGCCTGCTCCCCTATCTGTGTGCTGTGGAGCTGCTGCTCTGAGGCCCCCTGTGCCCTATCCGGAGTGGCTGGCTGGGGTGCAGCATGCCTTAAGGTGGGGAAGCAGGTGGCCCTGGGCTCAGTAGCATGTGAAGACTGGGGAGTAGACAGCCCTGTGTTGCCTGCTCTGTCTCCACATGCTGCTCCCTGGCTTGCCAGGGCACAAGGTGCCTCAGCACATAGGCTGCCTGCCAGCTAGCCCTGCACTGAGGCACCCTGTGCCCCAGCCAGCCCCTCCCCACCCCCTGCAACACATGGAGTGGCAGAGCACCTGCATTCAGGCACATGGAGACAGAGGAGCAGGCAGCCCTGGGCTGGCTGTTCTCCTGTCTTGAGGCACACTGTATTCCAGCCAGCTGCTTTATGGCTGGCTGGGGCTATGGCTGGCTGGGGCGCAGTGTACCTCAGCACAGGGGGTCCACATGACTCAGCGCCCTGCACTGAGGCATATGGAGACAAGGGAGCAGCTAGCTCATCGCTGCCTGCTTCCCCATATTAAGGCACCCTGTGCCTGAGCCAGCCTGTGAATGGCTGGCTGTGACACAGGGTGCCTCAGTGCAGGGGCTCTGCAGCCGGTGGAGATGTGGAAGCCGACAGCCATGGGCTGCTTGCTCCGCTGTCTCTGAATTTGTCGTGGTGCATGCCACTTTGTCATGCTTTGCACTGCTTTTATTTCAGGGTTGTTTTTTTGGTACCTGGTAGCAAATTTTGCCCCAGTGCTGTAAATTAGCTGTGTTGTGCACAGATTAATGTGCAACTCATGTCCTTTCTGGCACTGCAAAGATGTTTGCAGCACCAAAACTGTATGTGCCTGCATATCTGGATCTGGCCTATGAGTCTGCAGCTCAGAAGCTCACTCTTGTTCAAAGCAAGTGCCCTCTATTCAATGGTATGCTTAGATCCCTTCTTAAGTCTTTACTTTGCATCAAAGCACAGGAAATTACAAGAGAAAAATTAATGTGTCATGATGTTACTGTAATCTCTGTTGCTAGTGTGATGCGGCAACAATGGGTGTCTGCAAGCGTATAACTGCAGCAGGTGAATTGTAGAATCATAGAATCAATGAGTCGGAAGGGACCTAGACA